AACAAAATTAATTCCGACATTGAGACTTCAACTTGTCCAGCCCTACAATGCCCTCAGAAATATCACAGATTTCTGTACTACGTTTCCTCCAGGTTCACGTGCGCCTGAGAAGACAGTTTCATTTCAAAGATTCTAGGATCGAGGGAGCTTTATTTCAATAACGGACACTAATTATTTTGTAGATATCCAGAGGATATTCGTAGATTCTAAGAACCGTGCACGGTCATTGGAGATGTTAGTAAATTCCCTAAATTAACGGGTATAACAGCTTATGCATAATTTGGCACAAGTGCTATAAGTTGTGATATGTCTGCAAAATATGCAAATATGTCTGTCCACCCTCCGCCGCTTAGCATGGTTGATATTGAGATTAAATCGTATTCTTGATCGTAAGTTCAATTACCTATCGTTCAATAAGACCTGCGTGTTTAAAGTCTCCGTCTGATAAGAATTTGGCCAGAGTCTTGACGTGTACGAACTAATCTTCGAAATATCCTGAATTTTAGAATTCAACATCAGTCATAATTAGTCATTCCCCGGTTGGTATTTGAATCTTTGATAATCCATCCCCCATTACAATTGCTAAGATTTGAGGTAATGGGTCTGTCTGTCCGTTCTGACGTTGAGTTTGTCTATTGTACAGTTTGTCTGTGGTAAGTGGAAAATTTTACTTAACTCCGTATTACGACACGCTCAAAGACGCGACAGAGAACTGATTTCATTCGGGCAACAAAAAAGCTAGACTGCCAGCTGAGCACCTGGCGTCCGGAGCGGGCAAATTTTGAATGATGTAATTTGTGAATATGTCCCTCTCATTCAGAAGAAACCCGAAATTAAAACGCCCCGGCAAAATGAATTACATTTTTATTGCTGCAAAAGATATGAAATAAATTTATGCTATTTCAAAAATTTTGTTTTTCACAGATAAGCCGTCGGGCAGTCCCTGGTACATTTTTATCCGAGAAGGGTACGGCTGACCGTATAACTTGAGCGTGAGAGATATTCCTTGTCTGAGTTTTTCACAACTCTTAAAATAGAGAGTTTATCTTTTTCCCGCTTTCATCGGCACCGTCCTGAGATGTAAGCGTGCGATTGCTTTCATTTTTTTAGATACTCGAAATAATGAAATAATTCTTGGAATCGATGATAACAGCGTTCATTACCTTTGTCAAATTGAAGAAATCAAATGATAAATACTAAACAGCAAGATGCCATTGGTAGTTTTTGTCCCGACTTGACAACACTCATCATTTACAAAGAGGGCATTAATGCTAATTACTAGAGACGAATTGTGATTCCTTTATCAGTTCTGTTCTGCGTTATCTACCATTGCCCTTATCATGACGAATAATATCCTAACCTCTGGCAATCGAGCAAACCAAAGCTTAACTTCAATTATTAGACTATTGATACCGACCCTAAGTTTTTGTTTTGGAGGAGGGAGACATGACATTTAATTTATGTCTAATTTATGTTTTTAAATTTATGTTTCATTGTTGCAATATTGACCCTTGAAACCTCAATTTCGATTAATGACAATATTGGAGCATTTTAAACTTTTGGCTTTTAAAGTCTAAAACTTAGATTAGAAAGAGAACACTCAACACACCTTCTCGACCTATTTTTGCCATTATATCAAGTTTCGGTTCTTTGATGTTTTGTTTGCATATAATTAGCTTCATGCCTCATCAGTTCTGCCTAAATATCAACCCCCATTATGCTCTGGTTTCCTATAATTTGGCCAGACACAGTTTCCTTGGCGTAGAATTCAGCCGGATGCTTATTGCTTTGCCTAAAACTAAACTGAATAACTTTTTTTAAAGAATTAAACCAAATCCTCTCACTTTGATTGAAATTTCATCCTTAATTTGCTTGGAATTAAACTGCATACGTCTCACTTATACTATGCCTGCCATTAGACCAAAAACTTCTTACTTTGCGTAGAATTAATCCGAATACCTTTTACTTTCCTTGAATTAGACCAAATACGTCTTAATTTGGGTAGAATTAAACCTAATACTTTTTACTTTGCCTAGAATTTGACTAGATACCTCTTATTTTACCTAGAATTCGACCCTATACCCTTAAATTTGCCCAGAATTCAGTGCCACACCACCGTGCAATGCACAGCATGCATGACCTTAATATTGACTGCTCAGGACTCACCTGTGAACCACCTTATCACGAATAAATACAATTAGCCCCCGGAGATAGCCCCTAAAATACAATGTTAGTATAGTTCACTGTTGTCGTCTAATCCAGTTACAGCACCTCATTCCTGAAATATTACAAGTTTCCGGGATTGGCGGAACCTAATCTAAATGGAGTGCGGTCCTCCCCCTGAACAGGGGAAACATCTTAATAGAGTTATGTGGAACTGTCTCGGAAATTTTCTCGAATATTTTCACCGTGTGGGAGTGTCTAACACATGTTTGGGAGCAGTGCGAATATAAATTGACCTAATTGTTTAAAATTCACTTTATTCGATACGTTCCTCATGGATCTTGATTACTCCACACGACTAGCTCACGGTACAGTGGGTAGTTCAAATCACGTACAACATGTCCCATCTGGATACTTCAGCCGCATTTTAAAGCATTTCTGTTACATTGTTAGATACTTCACAATGCATTGGTACCAACTAATTATACTGTTTATACGTTTAATTGTCCCTCATTTACAATAACTTTATACCTTTTAATATGATTACTATTTTTCCATATAGTTATTTTTATACTCAGTCGGTTCAGTGTGTTTTGGTCCGGGCCTTGCTTGCTGGCCCTGCCATGGCTCTCTAGCTTGGGCAGGTTTGACTTATATCTATATATATACGTTAAATTGTATTTCTGATTATGTTTGGGCACTGCACCTAGTTGTATCAATTCTAGGGAAACGGAAACTTTACATGTTACTAATATTAAACCAGGAATCGATTTGCGTCGTAAATTCCCAAACATCTGATAAAGTGGCATGTTTAATTCGATAAGGCCTTGGCCCATATTTCAGGTTTGGAGCCTCAAATTTCATCATAATTTCCAGTCACGTATTAATACCTTATGACAGTACTTAAGGTTTTCTTACCATAAAAATCCTAAACGCAGTTCCGTCTTCTTGTCGTTCCCACCACCAGGCTGAAGGACTCCAAATTTCATATTTCGCTTCCAGTCTGATCACAGTTACCTTCGGCATGGTTTGATGTGTGTGTGTGTGATTAAGGTTTTGTACGGGATGCCTGCAAGAAAAAAAAAGGAAATTAATATTAGAAGTTCCGTTATAAGCACTCCCAAATGTGGAATTTATATTTCAAATTAAGTTGCAGTGAAGAGCGGTTAGCAGTGACCCTGACATGTGCCGGCAGCGTCGTCTTATCTTTCTCAGTACCTACCTCAAGCCCAGGTTCATCCCTGCTTTAATCTCACTTAATTGGGTGCAAAGAATCCATCCCCACTTTCAAAGATCAAGATTTTCTTTTTGCAAGGCCGCTGTTTTGCGCAATGTTAGTCCGCACAAATAAGCTTTTAAAGCTTTATGGGTTTTCTTATCGACTGGTCCAGTGTTTTACGTTGAAATTGGATTCCAATCGGTTTCATGATCAATCATTACATTTACAATTGACTTTGCTAAGTTCAATCCCTGTCAATGACCATTGGGCCTAAAAATCTAGAATATGCCTGAAAACCTAGAATATGTTCTAGACATCGTCCCTCGGAAATGCACTGGATTTGCCTTAAACGGACTGATGAATTTTTCTGCAGAATAGTTCCATAGATTTGGTGAAGTGAAATGTATCAATATCTTGTCGATATGTCGTGGTCGGGATGCTGTGATATTTCACATCTTGCCGTGATGAGATGCACTAGTGCACTACTGACACCGCGGTTCCATCCTTCAGTATGTCACAATGCGGTGGTTGCAGTTTAGTGGTTGTTCATTAGACGCCAGTGTAAGTGCCACTGGCTCTGAACTTTGGTAGATTTTGATAAGAACTTGATTTAATGTTTTAAATAGATAACGACCTCCTTTTATGGTCAAATCCAGGACGTGCCATAAATTCCTTTGTGGCGATAGATCATCCTTGCAATTGCCTTAATTCAGTATGATTTCCTGAGGACAAGTTCCCTTGAATGGTCATATTGTCCATCTTCGGAATTTACAGTCGAGTATAAAAGCAGCAATCGACTTGAAGAAGTGAAAAACATTCCCGTTTTCCAGCCTTCTTTGATGTTTATCAGACTTGATATAAGCACAGATCATGGAATCATATAAATAAACCAGCTATTTTAGGATTTAGTTAATTCTCAGTTTTTGTTTCAACTCCAGGTTTTAGGTTTCATCGACATTGAACTGCTCGAATATTGTAACCGAGATCCTATTTCTCTTCGCGGGCAGAAGTTCTGTGGGAATCGCGTGAAATAATGCCGTTGCTTATAATTGAATAACAATATATTATCTCCCCTTGTGCCCTAAATAAATTATCGTGGGAATGTTGAGATTTTTTTTGGTCTGAAATTTTCGTTTGGACGGACAGACGGACATCTTTTGTTTCCATCGTACAATCCGGAAACGATCGCTAATTAGATAACGTTTCATTAACTTTTTAAACCACCCACTCATCTCCTGTAATTTTTAGTTCCTGGAAATACCTCATTGTTTTATCTTTAATTACCTTTAATTTGTTTATCAATTATTTAAATACCTAACTTTGGTGGGATCCTCTAAAAACGGGTTTAAGATTATAGTATGGGGGAGCAGCTCGCTGATACTCCAAGTCCAGGTTTTGGTACATTTTTCACAAAAAGGCGGCTTATTTAATTTGGTTATGACGTCTAAAGGTTACTACTAGATAAGGTTTGCAGGTAGGCAGGTGCAAGTAAGCGAGGGGGCACCATTCAGCTCTCTCGTCCTCAATCACGTGACTTTCACACTCCTAGCAGTATATAAAGCAGGTCAGACTGCGAGGTTTCCTTTCATTGCTTCTAACCTACCATTCCATTCTGTAGCTTCGTCTCTATAAAGATCGCCATGTTTGTGCTCCTACTGGCTCTCACGCTGGTTGCTAGATCGCTAGCTCTTTCCCTATGTCACAACCACCCCGGATACCGAACCGTCCTTACTCAAGGCATCTTCCGACCTGGTGAGTCAGAGTGTGGGAATGTTTAAAATTCCAGGGTGGGTTCATAAATAATGGGTAAAAGTGGGGTAACAGTTTGGTGGGACAAGCAGGGTCATGGGGTGGGAGTATTTAGACTATATAATCTAACTGGTGAATGGGTATTGGGTAGTGGTAGGATTACAGTTACAGTTATTTATTTATAAGTTGGTTATAGGCTAGGTCAACGTAGATGAGATACTATTCATGCATCACCACTACAAATGTCCGTCGATACAGTGAATAAGTCAAACAACATGTGACTCTGTTTACCGTTACAATTCCATAACAAGTCTTGATTTCTTACCACTGGATTATCCTAGACAGCAACTTAATAGTGTTGGATAATGACTTGAGCGATCTTGAAAATGTTGTCCTAAGGTCAGCATAGTCACTCCACTATTATAAATAGTCTTTGCACATCCCGAGGCCGTTCCCTCCTACCATATCTCTGTTCAACTTAAGACAAATTTCGCAGACACAAAGATTTAGACCTTACAGTGTGCAGAACGTGTAGAAACTGCAGATAAGGATACAGACCTCGTTTTAAGCGGTTGGAGCCAGTTCATGGCCAGTTCAGAGCAATACCTTAACGGGTCTAATCGGTAATGATAGCCTCTGGGGACCGGGCGTTGGTTGGCGCATGTCATATCCACCGGTCTTTGGAAATATGTCCTGGGAATTCGATTACCGCATAATGATATAAAACATAATATTGATATACAAGGAATATGCGGTGAAGCCGCAGAGCTACAACGGTCACATACTCGGGCTTGTGATTAAGATAAAGGTGGCTTGTAGACAAAATTATTTTTAGATTTTGACCGGGCATTGGTCCTTATCAGCCAGCTGTCAAAAGTTGTATCAATTGGAATGTACTGTGTGCAGCTGCTTGTCTATATAAACGTCTCTGCAATAACAATAGACAGAAGAAATGTTTTAACTTACAGATATTGTATCCTGTTTGATTTTTTTCATATTTCAGATATTTTAAGAAGTGGACAACAAAGATTATACTGTTTTAAAGCAACCGAAGAACGCGACCTACCAAATGTAAGTTTCTACTGAGAATCAATATTTCTCCTTTCAGGATGCTGTTCACTATTGTGTCCCATAATTTATGTAAATTCCTATTACTACTATTACTCAATTTCTTAATTAACAACCCCCTCGTCAGGTGGCAAGTCTATACATAAAGTTAGCAACCTGCAAAGGGACGGTATCCGTGCGTCTGTTTGACCCTACTGGAGGGGAGATATACATGAAGGGTCGGGATTGCGACTCAGGAAGGTTGAGGGACAACATCCGATACGATTCCTCTCAGAATACCAACGGAGTCAGATGGGTAAGTTCAGACTTTGTTTTCGGATTCTTAACTATACTTTTTTAGTTGAAAAAATATAATCCCTATGCCTTGATTCTAACTTTCCATACCAACTTCTAACTTTCCATACCAATTGCCATGCTACTGCTAGCTTTATAATCTCTGATTTTAAATTAACCTCATTATAATCCTTCAGGCGGGACATCAAAACACTTATGCAGTTCCCGAGGAACATTCTATTTGGACTTACCACAACACCTCCGCTATGATTGGAACCTATACCATCATCGTGAGTTGACTTGAAAAATTTCATTTTTCATTTGACACGCCGAATACTTCAAGATATTTTCTCGGAAGTTTTGGTTTCAGTTTTCATCACGCACTTCATTGGTGGTCTTAAAATATACTTTAAGTGATGTGAGAGAAAAGCCCCTCATCTCTTTATTCAATTTAAAAGACACTCATGAAGGCACCCTTAAGTCTGTTATCAGCCAATGTCACGCCTCAAGAAGCTTTACATAAGTTCGAATTTCCGTTAAAAGAGATAGAATTTCATAACTGAATTCCAGTATATTTCACCCTGAATACAGGCACTTGGAAATAAGTAGTACGCGTCTTTATAATTTATATACCCTCATGCTCAAAAAATCTTTTTTATTGAAATTTTATCGGACTAATTCGCAGGTCAAAGCGGAAAAAACACCCTGTGGCGAAGCTGATTATCAGATTCTAGGTAAATATTTAAAAAATGTATTTTTAAACCTGTTTGATTTTATGAGGTGATTGTAAAAACCTGTTTTGCTCAATTATGACATTCTTTTTTAATGTAATTTGAATTCCTTGAATTCCACTTAAATAATTACTAAAAAGACCCCTCGCTTTTTTAACATTTGTGAATTTTTTTCAGGCAGCACAAAAAAATACAGACAACCTCCCGTTCTGCCTGATGATACCTGTATTCTCCATAACGACAGATTCACCACCAAAACCCAAGTTGGATTGTCGGTAAGTTACGCTTCTGCTCACTTTATTCTTCTTTGTCGTAATTGCTTTATCATCTTGTCCTTTCTATCAGTTTTAAGAATGAAGAGATAACGTCGCTATGTCCGGGAAATGTGAATGTGGGGGAGCCGGGAGAGGGATTAGCAAATTGTTCTTCGATTAAAACAGCTTTCTGCCGAATAATGAGTTGGTGGTGATATTAAAATAAGGAGTTCAGATTGGCCTCCGATTGTCTGCTTTAATTCAATAACCCCTCCTTAAAGTGATAGACGTCATGTACCAATCGTGCCTGTCCCCTTCGCTTTGTGGGGGAGGTCTTTTCAAGTGTCAAAAATGCTGACGTAGTTAACAGATTTAAATTGGATCCGTGAACCCTTTATGGTTAATCGGAAATAACATTTCCTGAATTTTGAGATAAGATTAATATTAATACCGATGCAGTACAGTCACCTCATGCATACTTGAATACAATCATTCATATAACATTTATCATTTAGTGGCTGAATCGCGTCCTAAATTCCCAATTTGTGACAATGCTAAGTTGATTAAGCTCATTGGAATTTATCCTTAATAACCTTCAATATTAATAGAATTTTCATCAGATTATCCTAATACCCAAGATTCATTGGTAATTGTCAATTATGAGCCGGAAATTAATAGGACTAATTTAATCTTTTTATATATTTAATGACGTCATTAGTTCTTGATTTAACCTTCCAGATTGAAAATCTAAACCACTAATGACTATAACTTTATCTCCTAATCTTTGGCCAATGGCATTACCCACGATTTTCATCAAATTTATAAAATATAAATCCCAACTTGATGTGTGACCACGACCACCTGCCCTTATCTTTATCTCGACAAGAAACGCCCTAGCCAGTTTAGTTGTTTTGGATGGATTAATTTTGCAAGCCACTGATAAACAATTCCCGCGGTCCGAGCCGTAATAATTATCCGCCGTTCTATTGATTCGTTAGGCTGTAATTAGGTTAGAACTTGACAAAAAGTTCTCATGATAAGAAAATGATTTTTTGGGGTCCAACTTGATAAGACAGTCTCCAAGCAGTGTGCATTAATCTACAAAATTTAATGAAAGAGAGAGATAGAAGTGGGCGTGCTGTGGGGATTTCTGGTGAAATACCAAGTCACGTGGGTAGGGTGGACGGTCCCCGTTCCTCTTCTCTTCTGGAGAATACCGTACCCCATACTTTAAATGAAGCTGCATGGTCTATAGTGTCGGGCAAATTTGCTGTGTTGGGTTACAAGTAGAAATAGAAATCCTGAGTTATCTTTATACGTATCTACAATTATCACAATGTCGGCGTATCTTTTTTTTGGTTGCTGCAGAATACCGTGCAGGGTTCCTGGCAGCATCAGTGACACTAAAATAATAATCTAATATCTTGTTATTTCAGTGGTCACCAGCCGAACTACCCTCGGATAACCCCTTCCAGACGATAAAGTACTGTGTCTACATGATCCCCACCGACACCCACAACCACAAGTGCAGTTACCACGGGTCCAGATGCTCGGTGGCACTGCTCCGAGGCCCGGACACGGTCGAGATGTGCTTTGTAGCAGGCCGGAGAAGCAGGGTGCTCTCCATAGTCCGCAACTTAAAACCTGGCACGGAATACCACGTGGACGTTATCGCCTGGACATATGACCGGGCCAGGCAGATTTATTACCTGCCCATGGCATATTCTCAGTCCCAGTATATAACAACTCAATCCTGAGACGCTTCATAGTGTTTCCTAACATCCCGGATATTTTCAGACGTTTTTTTTTTTGCGAGACGAATTTCTAAACCATCTAAATGATAGTTCTTTATCGAAAAATCGAATGAAAATATTCGGGGTCTAACTTAATATTTCTATTTCGCTAACTGTACAATTTGGGGATGTTTTAGCTGAGCTGGCGAGGGGGTTCCGATTAAATGTTTTATCAGAATTCTTCTCAGCATCAAGGCATTTGCTTGCGTGTTTTCTGATAACGAGTAAAATATTTGGTTGCTTAGAATTTAAATTCTGTGCTAACCACAGCTTCTTGTTCGACAAAAAGAGTTGCTTTACATTCGTCACGTGATGTAATCTTTCTTAAATTATTTGGATAGATTTTATCCGCGACCGCTTTTGTTCGGGCATAGTAAGAATCACCTCTTTCTTAACTACTATCTTGTCTCTTGAGAGCCTTTGGACTGGTTTGTTAAAGACACCTTTGACTGTGGATCGATTAAATTTTCAAGCTCTTTGGTTACATGAGAAAGATGAAGCTGTGGCCGATATATATACACTTACATCTATTTTAGCAATAATTGTCAATTATTGTAAATCATAAGACCTAGCTGTATATCTATTTTAGCGGTTATTGGTGACAATTTAAGTTACATTGCGTACCAATAACGTAGTTTGATGTTGTAGCTTTCAGTTTTCTGATGATTGAGAAATTTATTGTGATTTCTTGTGCTGGGCTTGGCTACATGTTTGATACTTTGGGTATTAGTCGAGTGATGATAATAATGATAAAGCATAATTCGAAGCTTTGTATGGCTTTATGCGACAGTATTTTTATTTTATTTACAAATTTTGATAAGTTTATATAATAACTTCTAAATTTTATATGATTTCGTGGCTTACCACGTCCTTGCTTTCAGAACCAAAAAAATTCAGATATTATTTTAGAACTTAATATGATAAAATGATATATGGAATATTGACTGTGCGTTATCTTGGTGGAATCCCGGGTACGTGTCTGAAGATTCTCATATGCTGTCTATACTAGTATCATGCCCATGATATATTAAACCTAAGGTTAGATTTGAAAAATCGTTTTTTGATATGTTTGACTTATGATTACCTGAAATTTGATTAAGATGTTGAATGAAGCTGTCTGAAGTTCAAATTTCCGACGATAAAGAACCGGACTGTAATTTTATTAGGTTCCAGGCCTTTTCATGCTCCAGTTAGATTCACGTGAAACTGGCTGAAAGGTTAACCATTTGTTTATCTTTACATTCCCATGACTCCGACACGATATATAATCTAATTTTCAAATTAGCAGGGTCACGCACTATTGCAGTCCGCGTACATTTTATCGTGGAATGGATTGAATTTTTGGATTTATTGTTAAACATTATATTAAGGTATTCTATAATTGGTTTCATTATCTGATATAATGATGTTATTATGAGACGTATCGATGTGTGATTCTTTATTGACTCTTTTTTTTTGGAGGAAGGGACTTAAGTTGGTTCAGTAATTACTCGAACTCTTGATCTTGGGTTCGTCAAAATTCTGTCAAACTTTCTGTAGTTCGAATTCTGTCAAACTTGCTGAACTTCGAACTCTGTCAAAAGTTGCTGAACTTCGATTTCTGTCAAAATTGATGAAACTCGTATTCGGTTCAACTTGTTGAAATTCGAATTCTGTCAAACTTGCTGAAGTTCGAATTCTGTTATAATTTTAAGGAGATATCTGTGTTCATGTTAATAAGACTGTTTTGTTACTTTCATGCTCCTTCTGTGATCATTGTATCTCAAGATGATCGACTGTATATTGAATTATTTTTGTGGCGTACTGACCAAGAATGCAACCTTTTGATAGAGCTTACAGTCGAATACAAATTGCTGGATCACAATTAGTGATCATATAATGATCATAACATTATGATCATATTATAATTTCCAAATAAGGATATTCTCACTGAAAAGTTCTATCAAATGGTCTTGATGTGGTGCCTGATAATATCTCTATATTTTTCTGTTGTTTTAAAACAAGAAAATATAGTTGGCTATCAGATGGACGTACTTGCTCTGTGACAATGTTGGACCATGTATATAAAACGTGTGAATGTATAACGTATATATTACGTACATAATACGTACATATTACGCATATAATACGTATATATTACTGTGTCATTGTTATGGTGATATGTGGCTTGTGATGCCCGACGTATGACTGATATAAGGCTCCACGGTATTTAAATATCAAATATTTATTATACTCGCAAAATCTGTACATACTTTTGATGATCATGTTGGAATTAAATCGTTTTATTTTATTATAAGATACAAATATACAATGAAAAACCATTAAATGTTTAAGACGTTCCACATTGATTTCCAGTTGCGAATGTTTGGCATTGAGAATTTGATGTTACTTCTTTGAGGAAATTGCAAATGAAAATCAGTCAGGGACGAATCAATTAAGAAAATAAAATGTGAATTGCGGGTATTCATAATCGATAATTACTGAATCAAAAGTTAATCACAAATCAGTGAACTTTTATTTCAACATTGCCTAAATCTATCTTTAAACCGACTGAAAATGTTCCCTAAAAACTAGATCTTAAGCTGCAGAGGCAGTAGGCCTGAGTTATGAATAAGTTTACTAAAAACAAAAAGAGTCGTAATCTAATTCGGCGGGACGGAAATTAAAGGTCTAGTATTTTCATTCCCAACTTTCAGCTTTCTTCGAAACTTCCTCTTTAAAAAGTTCGCCTGCTTGATCTTTTCATCATCTCTGCATTTTCCTCGATCATTAAAAGTTACGTTGCAGCATAGGTTTGGGTATCCATAGTTTTTAACATCTATTATCAGACATCGTCTATTCTACAGAAAGTCTACTAAAGTTGGTTTCTGGGGAAATTCACAATTCATAATCATGATATGATTGCTCTTCAAATATATATTGTCAACCACTATGACATTTAGCCAATTTTTAAAAGTTTTTGGAAAGTCTCCAAAAAAGTAGGTTCAATTGATATGGATCTGTATAATTATAATCAGCTTAGGTCCAGTACTGTCTGTCTTTAAAGTTATTGCTGGGAGCAACGACAAAATATTGGAGCGGGAACTTTCAACTTATATCTATTTCAAATATTAGCAGTCACGCCACGCACTATTGCAGTCCGTGTACATTAATAATCGTGGAATGGATCGAACTTTTGGATTTATTGTTCAACATTATATTTATGAGATCATTGACGCATAGTGCCAGTGGTAAACAATTTATTTGAAGAGCAATCATATCATGATTATGAGTTGTGAATTGGGGCGGGAACTTATATCTTTATATCTATTTCTTCACAAATAATACACCCAAGATTTGTTATACTTGTAGTCGTGGCATTGCAATTTGTATAATAGTGGTACTAGTTCTCCACTAAATAGAAATATCACACGATGCGGATTGCGGCTGAAGGATCACACTACACAGAGTTTAAATCAAAAATAGCTGGCTGTTCATTCTTGTCCACCGCCGAGAGAGTATGATTACGCAAAAGACTTCGTCCACGATGTTTTTGCTGAGGTGAATTGTCATGGAAAGATCTCGTTCCTCTGAACTTGAATTCTTGTTGGTTTACGAATGGCATTTTTATGCGTGCCCGAGGTACCTGATGGTTACCATGGTTAACATGGTTACCAAGGGACTCATCTTCATCACAAGGGGAAGCTCGACTTGTTTCATGTAATATTTCAAGATCACTATCAGTTGCATGTTCATTCTGTGGTAAATGTGGATCGCTGCTACAACAAGATGGTGATCCAACCTTACTTGATAGAATGTCATTGATTTGAGATCCAATCAGGTTAATACTAGAACCCATTGACAGGGCATCTGTAAAAAATGTATCTTGAACCTTACGAGATGGTTGCTGATTGTCACTAACATTCATTTGATGTTTTCTTGGTGATCTTTGATTATTCGTAATGGGGATCTTGATTTCCAAGTCTTCACAGTGGTATCCATTTTCTTGTGATTGGTGATATTTTTTGGTGCTTGGTGGCACCCGATGGTGATAGTTGCTAGGTGACACCCCAAGGTGATGGTTGGTAGGTGACATCCCACGGTGATGGTTGTTAGGTGACATCTCACGGGTGCTTAGTGACCGTTTGGATGTAACCTCAGGTGATGAAGGTTGTATCAGGGGTGATGTTTTTGAGGAAAAGCTCCGTGTCTTGTTTTGACAGTATTCTTTGAAGTGGCTGTTGGTTACGATGTATACTATTGGGTTACAGAGGGTGTTTAGCAGAGAGGTTGTACACTGAAAATAGAACTGTCAGAGATGACAACAATAACTGCAATCATGCCCAATATACGACCGATGGTCCGATGATACTACTTTCAGCTTCTGCTCTCAGACATGCTTGTTTTCAGTCAACTTCAAACTGAATTGATGACTGTGGTGATAATAAATAATTGAAATACAAGTAACTGACCTGGACTGTCCATACAGTTGGGTGAATTAAGTGACCTCCCCCAACCAAGTTACCGTAGATACTTGTAACTACTCCTGGTCCCACCGAGACCATGAACAATCCTGAGAACAGGGAATTGTTTGAGTGGCTGTCACTTTATAAGTGGAGCTAGACGCAGGTATTATTGAAACATGGTATTCTCAGTCGACAGATCATTTATTTGTTAATTCACTGACATGGTACCAGTGTTTGCCACTGTAGCACTGAACACAACGTTTCACCCTGAAAAATGGTTCTTACCCACAACCAGAGACACCGTGAGAGGAGCCCTCCAAAAGGGGGTATCTTCACCCCTTCTCTTGCTGTACTCCTTAGCCTCCCTCAGGATAACCACATAAAGACAAGTCACCACAGAAAGGGGGAACAGAGTATACACACTAGCTACGCCCACTGCTAGCATCCCGTGTGCACGGCCTTTTGCTGCTGGCGCGTACCTGTGGGTATGTTGAAGAGGGTTACATCAGAACTGTGTTTTCTGGGGTGTATGTCAGGAGTATAGTATGTCAGGACCTGGATAAGACTTTCCTGTTATTTTCACTGTTAGGGGTGCATTTTTAATTTTACTGGACATGGAGGTAAGAAGAATTGGTTCAGTATTTTGGGAGGAAACGTGGATGCAAATAAACTGGGTTTTGTTAATTTGCACTGCAGTACTCACTCGATACAGCAAGTAAAGATTCTGGGTAGAAAGACACGTGACTGAAGCCGCCAAGCACCATCAATAGTGGGATCAGACACCACATAGCCAGAATAGTCGTTACATAGGTCGTTCCTCGCACTGATATCAGAAACCTGTTCAGTGAAGATTATATTAGGAAGACTGAGAGTGGGTTGCGATTGAATAAGATTAAACTTATGGCCTGTTCACTGTTGGGATCCTAGGAGCATATCCAATTAGTTCCACCGATATCTCATCGTCCTGCAGACAGTGGCGTAACTTTAGTGGCTGATTTAACTTGGCGCCCCCCGGCGGCTCGAAAAAGTCGCCCAAATTTTTTGTGTCCCTAAAAAAAAAAAAAGAAAAAAGGTCGGGTACCTTTTTTTGGCGCCCCCTACAGCTTTTTTGCGCCCCTGGAGCAAAAAAAGGACCCCAAAAATTTTTTTCACACCGACTGAGCGCTAAATTGGACAGGGGAATACACCAATAAGGCGTTATTTTCAGTGAGAGGTCATAAAATTCAAGAAAAATTCAAGAAAAAACCTAGGGGCGACTTTTCGTTGAGAAAGGGCGCCTTTTTGGCGCCCCCGGCGTAGCCGGGATGGCCGGGGCAGCGTTACGCCACTGCCTGCAGACTCAAATTATTACTATTACTCTATTAGTATTTCGTTGTAGGTTTATAACCTACCAAGATGCGCGCCGAGTTGGACTCGTCGACGGTCTAATAATTGGAACAAATATTTTAAGAGTTCCACCCGTTAACCATTTCGATGATGATAAAATACAAATATTTTCCAATAAAATGGCTATTGACTTCTGATGGCTATATTCAATTATACAACTACCAGTGAACCAGTCACCAGTCACCTACCTAAGAGGAAATATGATATTGTAGAATTTCTGAATAGTAATGAAGGTGACGATCCAAATCTCCATTAACATGATCCATGCTTGCATGAGAGCAGTTGAAATACACAGCAGCTCACCCAATACCCACCTTCCTGGAACATACTGAGTTAAAATAATTGCATCTCAATTTCAACTTCGTCTCTTTTAAGGGCAGGTTAATTTTAAGCTTGGTGCCTCCCAGATACACTTAAATAAAATACAGATTTGTATTTATTAGCGTTATTAGGACCTCAGAACAGTATTTTGTAAGACAGTTTTAGACGACAGATATTCTGTCATATCAGTCACCATACATTTTTAACAAACATGTTAAACATTTTAATAATATGTCTTACTAGTAATAGTGGTGATGAGCATTGGCAAAGTTACAACAGGGTTAATAAGGAGATCATTAATAGCCAGGTAAAGGAGGAACCGTCTTACCGTCCTCCCTATCCTGCTTATCTTGTGTTGTCTTGTGTAGCAGAGTACCAGTGTGTTGCCTGTGGAGGAGGCGTGGTGAGTGAGGCGTAGTGATGAGGCGTAGTGAGTGAGGTGTAGTGAGTGAGGCGTGGTGAGGAAGGTGTAGTGATGAGGCGTAGTGAGTGAGGTGTAGTGAGTGAGGCGTGGTGAGGAAGGTGTACTAAGTGAGGCGTAGTGACGAGGTGTAGTGAGTGAGGCGTAGTGACGAGGTGTAGTGAGGAAGGTGTAGTGACGAGGTGTAGTGAGTGAGGCGTAGTGACGAGGTGTAGTAAGTGAGGCGTAGTGACGAGGTGTAGTGAGTGAGGCGTAGTGACGAGGTGTAGTGAGGAAGGTGTAGTGACGAGGTGTAGTGAGTGAGGCGTGGTGAGTGAGGCGTAGTGATGAGGCGTGGTGAGTGAGGCGTAGTGATGAGGCGTAGTGAGTGAGGTGTAGTGAGTGAGGCGTTGAGGATCTTACGTAACTTACTTTACGTGGCACGTGCGGTCAAGGTTTTATTGGTGGTGTTTAGGAAGATGAAATAAAAGTTATAGATTCAAGGAATGATGTCCACGAGTGATATAAAGGTTCATCGAAATTTAAAGTGTCAAAAAGATTCCACCCGAGCATCGACAGAAATGCACTGTTCCCTCTCCCTCAGTCCCAAACTTACCTACAACAGATAGAATCAAGGCCACGGACAAGTACGTAGCTACGCCATAACCAGCAATGACTGAAAGAAGGACTGGCCGGTCAAGTGTCTCCTTGAGCAGTA